AAAATATGTGTTTTCTGATGGTCTTAGGCGACCCCTGTGAAAGGGTCGTTCGACCCCCAAAAGGGTCCCGACCCACAGGTTGAGAACCACTGATGTAGACTGATCAGAAACTTCAGCCACAGTTAGTTGCTTTCTGATGTGTGATTTATAGACCATATTATCAGCTGTACTGTATCATTTTCAGGATTTCTGGTAAATGGCAAATTGATTGTTATAACTTTCTTTGATGAAGTTTTTCCCCAAATATGGATAGATGATTTTCTTCTTTGCTGTACATATGAAACATGGATAGATAAAATATGAAACTTTATATTTGAGAAGAAAGTGTTTACAATTGCTATTATGTTTTCTTAGCCACTCCAGAAGATATTCTCCTGGAGAGTTCCGAGAAATCCACAGTTGATGGATCTTTTGAGGCAGCTTTGGAGCACTTGAAATTGGGCAGCATTTTCACTTTCAGAGTTACTGTTCTACAGGCCTCCAGCATCTCAGCAGAATATGCGGACATCTTCTGCCAATTTAAGTAAGATACAATGTCCAGTCCACCATTTGCTATTTATGCAGTTTAGATAAATGTAGAAAACTGTGATCACACTCTGTCATTGATCCACTCTTTTCACATGGAGAATTAATCAAAATTATTTTAACAATAAAAAGTTGAGGGATGGAGGCTAGAATATAAGTGCATTTAAAAGGTTCTTACTGAGAATAAATACAGGAATGAAGCTTAATAGCCTGAATATATCAATTACTCTTATGAGAGACTATGGAAATACAGAAGAATCCTACAAGATGAGAGGAAAAAGTATTATCTTCCTAATCTTTCCATGTATTGTTGTGCTTCTGATTTTTCAGTTTCTGAACTGAAAAATTCTAACAGAGAGTAAAGCACACCTTATAGGAGGCCTGGTGATGACCAACAGACTGCAGTTGAACTTATGTTTACAATTTGAATGAAAGAATGCACACATGTGCATAGACACACACCATGTATGTATATGCTTTTGAAATGAATGTATTTAAGCATAGTAAAAGAAGCTCTTTTTTCACAGTTTTATTCACCGCCATGATGAAGCCTTCTCTACCGAACCCTTGAAGAACACTGGCCGAGGCCCACCTCTTGGTTTTTATCATGTTCAAAATGTTAGTGTAATTTTCTGCTTCATGTTGTTGATTTTGTATATTTTGCATTACTACTTCTTTAAAATTGTGTAAATCTTTTAAAGACTGGCAGGAAATTAAATGCAGCTTTCTGCTTACTGGCTAAAACTGGTTTTAATGCTTTCTATGTATATTACAGTACTGCAGGTTTATAGCGTTAGTTCTAAGACAACAGTATTTTGTTTCTAGGTGACTATGAAAGGGAAGAATTTAATTGATTTTGTATAATTATGCCCTTGACATAATTAGTGATATTTTATGCCTTGTTTTGTTGATTTCATTTCTGGAAAGGCCACTGATAAAGGAATAAAGGCCTAAAATGCCAGAAAATCAATGAAGATAATGAGATATATTAACATATATTAACATTGAAGCTTTAAGTCGCCCCCCTCCCCCCCTTTTTATAGCTTCAGTGAATGAAAGTTTTATATCTTCCAGCAAGTTTTACACAGCTTAATAATTTGACCATTTTAAGTTGAAACTCTTATTATATAAAATAAGCATTTTTATCCTTTTCTGTCTTACAGATTGCAGTTGAGGTCACTAAATCGTTTATTGAATACATTAAAAGCCAGCCAATTGTCTTTGAGGTGTTTGGCCACTATCAGCAGTATCCTTTCCCCCCTCTCTGCAAGGATGTACTCAGGTAAATTATCATCCATGATCTCTCACTACCTGTGGCTCATCTGCTTCTTTTTAAGAAGTGGAGCTTGCCCTACGAAGCACTGAGATTTTTGCCTGATTTTCAGCAAGAGTTTAACTGTTGCAGAGATGCTACAGGGCAGTCTATGCCATTATAAAACAAATTTGTGAAATTTGTAAAATTGTGATACTGTATTACAGTGTATTTTCAGTTTCCAGTATTTGACCAAGCACAAATACTTTTTGAAATTTTGTAAGATCCATCTGATAGGCCTGCCCTAATTGATTACAGTTTATTTTTGTAGCATTCATTTTAATTAGTTATGCCTTTTTTATAGCCCCCTAAGACCATCTCGCCGCCATTTCCCTCGCGTCATGCCATTATCAAAACCAGGTAAGAAAGAAAGAATTATTTGTTTCACATGAGCATTAATGAAAATTTCAGAACGTTTAGACATTTTGAACAAAACATATTACTGATTAATAATTGTTATTTGAAAAAGCTGTCCCAAATCTTTG